AAATCGTTCTTAAGCGCCTATTCTGGCGTTAAATCACGCAGTTCCAAACGCTCTCTCCTCTCCCTGTAACAACCCCCTGAACGGTCCCTAAGTTCAATATGATCCGTCTTAAAAATACTTGTTTTCACCTAGCTCAAGAGTTCATTTCCAAACTCTCGCAAACAACTTCGTTTGCGATTCTCTCCGGAGCCTGAAGGCCACGATACGCTCCACCAATCACATTGAACAAGAGACGGTTAGGATAACAAAACAAGCAGTGAACTCCAACACAATGTGTTGATAAGGCGCGTCATTAACTCACACATATCAACCCCTTTAGTTTTCATTTACAGAGATTTCAAAATAGGCAAGTAGCACAACAAGAGAGTTCATACGATCCAACTCTTCGACGACGCACTTTGACGAGACCGTGTATTGTGAATGTAGAAAGCCATTCGAACGAGTTTAAGTTTTTTGATCTGCCCCCAGCAATATCTTATCAGATTCTTAAAGAAAAGTGCTACGGCATAATTTAAGCGAAGAAAGGAAAAATTCTGTTGAACTCCTGAAAGATACAGTCGATATAAAGGTATTTTTGGGTCTAAAATATCCAAATCACCGGTACCTATTATAAATCCCGATATATTATTGAAAAGAAATTGACTCGATATAAATGTAATTGCATTTAATATGTCTTGATTTTGTTATTTTAAACGTATTTCCATGCAAAGAAGTTCAACCATGTCCATGCTTTATTCATTCATGAATTGAAAGTAAGCAATCTACATCCCGAAAATCTACATAGCCCCATACATAGCCCCAGAATACTTTTAAAGCGCCTTTACTTTCCAGAATCTTGACGGAATTTTTTTTTGGCTTATACAACTCAAGAGACACTGTAGTTAAAAAATACATATAAAGAATTTTCGATTTTGACACAAAAAAAAAATGTTCGTTCAGGCACACCATGTATTGTATGGTGTATTGCGCTGGTATTCAATCCTTGCCTTCAGATCAAAATTCTTACAAGGAAGCCCCTTGCAAGAGGCGAATTTTTTGTAATTTCTCCCAATTTTTTCTCCGTTATATAGTTGAATTGCTTGCCAAATTCTGAGGTCAATTATATTTAATTGTAATTTATACATTTCTTTTTTCCCCTTCATTTTATTTTTTGTTTGGAGAAGTTTCGCTGATTTCTTCGGATTTCGAATACTGTAACTTCTCTTCTATTCGGCCGATTTTTATGAATGAGACCTCTTTCAATTCGTCTTTGAACGGAGAGTGAGGAAAAAATTGCTAAGTACTCGCGAAACAATTTTTTCGAAAATTTGATGGATCCCAGCGTGACGGTGAAATGGGTAATCGAGTGAAAGTAATTAGGTCTGACAGTGACGAGGACCGCGAGGGTCGCCTTTTGTTCTTCAGCTGGGAAGCGACGCGGCGAACCGAGCCAGGACCAGGACACTACCTGGGTTTTGTGCCTGCCTGTGCACTGTTTTGGCCTGATAGGCGAGTGAATTTCTGTATGGGCCACGGTTAGCACATGGTCTAATGAGTCTCGAGGCTCATCACAGATTGCACTTACCACTATCCTGCTGGCCCCGGCTATCAGAGCAAGGAGTACCAAATTTTGAAAATCATAACAGGTTTGTGGAGATCTGTCAAAGCAACGTTTTAAACAAAACCTAGAAGTGAAATTCTCATTCAACGAGTGCCGACCTGATCAGCCATCCTCGAATCAGTCTGCTTATATATGCATATTTTAAATCAGCGCGTCGCATTCTAAGGTTTTTTTTAAAAGAAACCAAGTAACGCAGACTCTTGGTATTCATTACACATAAACTAGAGAGCCCCAGAATGAGAAACAACTTTAAATCATAATTATTGACGGATAAATAAATTTTTTACACGCTTTGGAAAATCTCAGAAGTTCGCGGTAGTCACTTTTCGGTAAGGAACTAAGGGACTCGGTTATTGTATCGAGTGGGGGGTCGAAACGATCGCAAAGGCGGTATACTACGTATACGCGCCAAAAATAGCCAATCAAATCGACCACGTGAAATTTTTTACTGGGTAATGAACTTTTTCGGAAGTCAAATAATTTGATATCTCGTTCAAGGTGCACCTGATCGGACTATTCAAGGAAAAAATGGTAAAAAAACATGTTTTAACTCAAAGGAAGAAAGTGGTCTTCGATTTTAAGAACATTTCTCGGGGTGAATTTTTCCTTTTATTATACAGTCGAACCTCGATAACTCGAAGCTGAAGGGAAGCGATAAAAAATTCGAGTTATTGAGGTTTCGAGATTATCGAGGTTTCGAGTTAACGAGGTTTGGAGATGAAAATTTCGAGTTATCGAGGTTGGAGGTTCCAGGTTGGTGCTAGGTCAATTTAGAAAAAAAAAAACCGTTCTTTGTTTTACGTTATCATAATAAGGGAATATTGGGGAATGAAAGTAGGAACTAATATTTAATCCCACGTCCGATCGGGGTAGGACAATGGTTTATTATTGGAAAAAATATGTACACAAAGATCTAGAATTAAATTTTAAAAAACTGAGTTATTCTGCTCTGCTGCAAGTGTTGCAAACGGTGTCTATCTACCTCATTTTCAAGTGTTACCAAAGCAGAAAAAACATCATCACTAACATTAGGCAGTTGCTCCACAAAATCTCGGAGTGTAGTAAGTATGCTCTTTGCCTGCTTATTTGGCACCACTGGTTTTGTGACAAGAGGCTCGTCATCTTTAGAGTACCTATATTAAGAGAGTATGGCCACTGGGTCCCATGGAAAGGCTTAGGACCCAAAAATGGCGGTGCTTTGTTTTGGTTTTTGATGATGGGAGGGGGGTCATTGCCAACTTTTGACGGTTATCACCAACCGCACTTGCTGCCAACCTTTTTACATCTAAGATCATTTTTCTCAAAAATTGCACACGATTAGCCTTAAAAATATGTAAAAAAGTCGCAATAGTGCATTAGGGTAAAGTGCTCGTTACGATAAGCAAAGACAACTACATTTTGAATCATTTTGCATTACATTAACTTTATGGCGTCCGCCATTTTTGGGTCCTAAGGGCTCCATTCAGCCTAAGATGGCTGAGCCAATCAGAGGTGGTAACTCCAGTGGCCATACTCTCTCAATATAGGTACTCTAGTCATCTTCATCGTCGATTTCTTCGTTGTTATCTGCCGAAACAGAGGCCAGTATATCCTCATCACTCAGCAAACCAGTCGCTGCAACTTCGTTATCAATTGCGACAAAATCTTCAAATGAACAACCTTCAAGCATGAAATGCGTGCCCAGAGAGTCCCACTCCGCTAGTTCATTGTCTTCTCCCGTTGGCTCAGAATCAGAACCGTCGTCACTGATAAAGCCGCAACTTTTAAAACAATTACGAATGGTGCTTTGCTTCACATTCCTCCAAGACTTATCAATCATTCTCATGGCATCTAGGACAGTAATATTAGTTGTGACTCCTGATTCAATATCTGACAAGATTCTACGGACAACCTCTTTTCGGTACAATCTTTTAAGATTTTTTATAATGCCTCGATCAAGTGGTTGAAGTTTTGATGTCGTATTGGGGGGTAAGAACTCAACTCTCACAGCTTGAAGAGGGGGGATAACATTATGAGCAGTGCAGTTATCGATTAAAAGCAGAATGTTCACTTGTTCCTTTGTCTTCGCACCTCTGTTTTTCACCGCGCCTCCAATATGCTCACTTTTTGGGCGACACTCAACGCGGAACACTTGCGCATTTTTTTTTAACGCGTCACAACATTAACTGATGATAAACTGATTAACCTGCCACCGCTGATTGCCTGCGGCCGCCTTGAGATTACCTGGGCCGAAGCATCCTTCGAGTTATAGAGGTTTTTCTCCGATTCCTTCGAGTTACTGAGGTACATATTTGACACATGGTAGTTGCCTTCGAGTTATAGAGGTAAACCGCCGATTCCTTCGAGTTACTGAGGTACAAATGAGCCTCAAATGTCTTCGAGTTAACGGAACAAATTTGTCGAGTTATCGAGGATTTTGGCCTTCTGCGGAAGGGAACGGACATTTTCTTCGAGTTATTGAGGTTTTCGAGCTATCGAGGTTCGACTGTATTAAGGTTTCTTGATGATAGAAAACTTGTTTTGTGAAAGAATTGTTTTGAATTGAAAAAAAAAAAAAAAATTTGATCTACATAAGAGAATACCTTTCACATAGAGCAAAGTTTCTAGGAGTGATATCTGATTTCACTTTGAAAAAAAAAATTGTTGTTATCAAAACAATCGTTCTTTAAATCCAATATGAAGTTTATTGTATAATGTACAATTCGCTCTTGCAGCTCGCCCGGGTGCTCTTCGACATCCAATTGCCATATTCCTTGCCGGGTGCCATTCCCGAGTACAAGTGGCTGTAGAATTTATGTCTATAGATGGCATTCCTTAACTAGCCGAAAGCTCATTTTTGTCTGGAACCCTTGTCTATTGCCAGGTCGTAGTTTTGAGTAACCCTTATTGTGGAATTTATGTCGATCAACGACAATTCTTAGCCACATCATCGATAACCCCTGCTCATGTTGATAGACGGTGGGGTACACGGGAATAGGGCTAAGGAATGGCGAAGTGGCGTCTGGCAAATTTAGGTTGGCCTAGGTAAAACTAAAGGTTTGCTTCGTCCTCCAGGCCCCGCAGTTGCGCGCTGAGAAGTGAACAGTTTAGACTTCTTTTTACGTCGAAAATCAAGAACGTGAGTCGATCAACGTGAATCAATTGACACCGATTCGATCGATTCACAGGCTTGTCGATCAATCCACGGGTTTGTCGATTGACTCATGGCTTTTGCCGATCGATGGACGGGTGTGTCGATCGAATCACGGGTTTTTCGATCAATTCACGCGTTTGTCGATGGATGCACAGCTTTTGTCGATCTATTCACGGGTTTGTCGATCAAATCGGTGTCGATCGATTCACGTCGATCGATTCCCGTTCTCATTTTTCGATCAAATCCACACCCTCCCTCATTTTCCCCTTGAATTAAGATGGACTTTCACTTTGAGCCCGCTGCCGTTGCGGCCTCCCAACGAAGAATTTCTCGCTCCTGTCGTGGTTTTTGGTGAAATACGTCTCAATCTGCTCCAAAGTTTTCCCCTCCGTCTCCGGTAAGTAAAAGTAGTGATGAACGACCCCAGCCATGGTACATACTCCGTAAAGGTACATCACGCCACTGAATCCCAGCCACGCCTCCATGTATAGGTACGTCTTAGTCAAGAAGGACATGACAAGATGAGTCCAAGCGGCTGTAAGGCCCGTAGCTGTACCTCGGCCCCTAAAAGAAAAGCAAGAAACAGGAAGATGAGATTCAGTCATTCATCGGTGTGCGAATTTTCAACTATTGACAGCACCCGCGTAAAATCATGCTACACAGCTTGAAAGACCAATTTGTAAGCTCTATAATGTAAAACCATGAGAGTAATGCATGGCGGCTGAGGAGCAAAGCGCTTTGAAAAGTCGACCTACGAGGCGGCCAGGAGGCTCAGCCCCCCAGTAATACTTGACTTTCGTCAGATTTTGCATACAAAATTAAGGTAATTCGATGGACGCCATATTTGGGTCGGATCGGCATGCGACATATGGCATCAATTGGTTCCATTTTTTAAGCTACTCGTCATTTTTCTCCAATTTTGAAATCGCAATTCTGTTATCAGGAGACTAAAGCACTCACTTACCAATTTTAAAAAAAGAAATTCAACGTAATAAAGGCATGTTTTTTTTTTAGAGAGAAAATATCGCATTCGAGTGCAGTTTCGATATCAGTATCGAATGCGATATTTTCTCTCTTAAAAAAACCTCGCCTTCATTACGTTGTCTTTCTTTGTTAAAATTAGTATGTGAGTGCTTTAGTCTTCTTACAACAGAATTGTAATCTCAAAATTGGAGAAAAATGACGAGTAGCTTAAAAAATGGAACCAATTGATGCGATATATCGCGTGCCGTTCTGACACAAAACATGGTGTCCTTCGAATCACCTTAAGTTCCGAGCCCGCAAAATACTCTGGGAGGAGTCCTTCAACACTTGAACAAAATATCTTCTCTATTCTAATTAAATCATTTTACAGACGATCAATGAACGAGGTGAGGAAGGGGAGTAAGATTGGTAAGTAGCGTCCCAGGGATCAGGCCGCGTAGTGGCAAAGGGGCGGACCCCCTAGTAAAACTATAAAGTAGACTTCGACTGATCCAGCCGCGGAGTCAGTGGCGTGGCGTGCTTCGCGATCTATCGATAGATTTGCCATTTAAATCTATGGAAAAGGATCGATTATCTAGGTGTTCGCAGCGAACACCTGGATAAACAATTCTTTACTACAGCTTCAAATAGAGAAATATCGATAATAGATCCTTCAAAATTTTCGAAACACAGTTCATTAGTTTTTTGAATAAAATGTTCATTTAACCCTTAGATACCCAAGCCGGGTCAAATTAACCAAGACTTTACATATGGTCACAGCATCACCTAAAAAACACGGTTTGAAAACATATGGTCCGCGGGTTGAATGGGGACTGTGCGGTGCATACAAGCTTTAGATATGATTATGTCCACAAATACATGTTGAAAAACGAATCAGACGTCTTTAAAAAAATAAGAAATCTAGTGTCTTACATAGCCGTGAATACGAAAGACGTATCGGGCCTCGTTTTTTGACTTTTCTCCCGAATTTAAGCGATACCTCAATTGGAGCATAGAGCAGAGCATTGCGAGTTCACACCTTGCGCCCTCGCGGCTCGCGCCTTCAATTTTGCAGATGCAACGCAGACATCCATCAAGTACGTATGGTTGTATCTCTACGCCGTCATAAACACGCGTCATTTCACATACTCTATTTTTGTTTAGTTGTTTTGGTTCCGTTAATCTTATTTGTAGTGGTACTTTAAGGGCTAAGTGAAACAACACAGCCGAAGATAGGAGAGACGTATTCGGGCCTCCTAGCCTCCTTGTTTAACTTTTCTGGGTGGATTTCTGTAGATTTTCATTTTGGGAATTTTTTTCCTTCAAAAACAATTTTACAGTAGGTAATCCACAAAGCATTTTTTAGAAGTAGTATACTATGTAGAATCATATTTAAGTGGAGGGGTCAACTTCTGTAGGGCCAATTTTTTTTTTTTTTGCTAGTAAGTGAACAAAAAAAGTCTACTTTGCCAACTCCAGCCAGTCTCATTTCGCATCATGTATTTAGGACTTGCAAGGGTTATTTCCTTCAACTTAAGGTTTTTGGCGCGTATACGTAGTATACCGCCTTAGCGATCGTTTCGAACCCTGCTCGATACAATAACCGAGTCCCTTAGTTCCTTACCGAAAAGTGACTACCGCGAACTTCTGAGATTTTCCAAAGCGTGTAAAAAGTTTATTTATCCGTCAATAATTATGATTCTGATGTATTTCTCATTCTGGGGCTTTTTAGTTTATGTGCAATGAATACCAAGAGTCTAAGTTACTTGGTTTTTTTTAAAAAAAGCCTAAGAATGCGACGCGCTGATTTAAAATATGCATATATAAGCAGAAACAAGCGAACTGATTCGAGGATGGCTGACCAGGCCGGCACTCTAGGAATGAGAATTTTACTCCTCCGTTTCGTTCATAACGTTGCTTTGACAGATCTCCAAACCACTGTTGGGCTTTTCAAAAGTTGGTACCTTTCCTCTGACAGCGAAGGCCACCCAGGATAGACGTAAGTGCAATCTGTGATGAGCCTCAAAACTCATTAGACCATGTGCTAACCATAACACATACAGAAATCAGTTTGCTTTTACGGAAAACCACTTACCCTTCTCCTCCCCGCACACTGGACCTCTGTCCCGACACCGAGGCAGTGTCTTTTGTCCTCCCGAGCGACCCGACCCGGACCCTCACCCTTGATTTTACGCTTGATTAACCATTTCACCGTCACGCTAGGATTCGTCCAATTTTCAAAAAAAATTGTTTTGCGTGTACTTAGCAATTTTTTCCTTACTCTCCGTTAAAAGACGAATTAAAAGAGGTCTCATTCATAAAAATCGGCCGAATAGAAGAGAAGTTACAGTATTCGAAATCCGAAGAAATCAACGAAACTTCTCCAGACAAAAAACAAAATGAAGGGAAAAAAAGAAATGTATAAATTACAATTAAATATAATTGACCTCAGAATTTGACAAGCAATTCAATTATATAACGGAGGAAAAATTGGGAGAAATTACAAAAAATTCGCCTCTTGCAAGGGGCTTCCTTGTAAGAATTTTGCCCTGAAGATAAGGTTTGAATAGCAGCAGTACTCCATACAATACACGGTGTGCCTGAACGAACATTTTTTTTTTTGTAAAAATCGAAAATTCTTTATATTTTTTAACTACAGTGTCTCTTAAGCCGTTTAAGCTAAAAAAAAATTCCGTCAAGATTCTGGAAAGTAAAGGCGCTTTAAAAGTATTCTGGGGCTATAATAGCTAAATCACCGGGAGTAAATCCCGTTATATTATTAAAAA